CTACGGCAGAAAATGTGGGTGATAGCTAGTTTACAATATGTTGTTGCATACGTGTTACGCATTCCCGGAGAGGGTTAATGGATAAAAAATACGACATATCAGAGCAAAAGAATACGTTTGACCTTTGCCCCCAAACATTATTTCTGTACTATTTTTGAGAGTGTTTGTGGACTTTGATAGGATAGGATTTACATATTTATCCCGGGGGAGAGGAAAGCCGATAAGACGGCTTATCCATATGGCGAACCACGGCCTCTCGTCCGGTTACCATTCCAAGTCGGGTATGGGATTGGTTTTACTGTAATATTTGTTTTCGGAAGCATGGACTTGATACCGGTACCGGTACTGTTCAGTACATCCGCGTAAATATATTGGATAAAAATTACGGGGGATTAGTGGACGATAACGTGTGAGAAATATCGTCGTGGTTCGTTATTATTTTCGACAATAATTTAATAGATGAAATTGATGGCCGCAAAATGGCTAAGCCACCCTATGGTGAAGTTTTAAACATTCCTTACCCCATCTATCAGTCTATGGCAAAGAAGAGAAGAGAAAAAACTTTGAGAGAAAACTAAGCTCCCTCGAACGTTGAATTAGGTTTCTGTTTGTCTGGGTAAACGGCGCCGCCCTCGGACTTTCAAAACACGACTAAGTTTCAACTTTGGATTTGTTTTTAGATTGCTATTGTCTGTCCATATAAATTCCAACCGGCAAAATGCTGAAATGGTCGGATTTTTTATGCTCAAAATCTTAGCTACATAAATATTGTTCTGGAAATTACGTGTTTTATCAAGATCTCAATTGCCTCTTTATCTGAAAGTGTGACATTAGAAATATGCGCTAATTCCACGCAATTTCACCCGTCGGCATATTCACAATCGTTCTGCTAGATCGCTGAGAATACAAATAGAAAATCTGAATCAATCTGAGACACTTCTCTATTATTTTAACCCCGTATTTATGGCTGAAATACTTGGATTTTATTTGGTTTCAAATCTGAAACATAGCACTCGTGCATATTTTATTTCACGCTTTCTAAATCTTCTGTTTACAACAAAATTATCTGAAGCCAAATTTTCCCCTAATCAGCAAATTCCCATAATACTGCATCCTAATAAACCTGATTCTAACTTATATGACATAGGAAACTCATAAATTACGTTATCTGCTCAATAAGCCAACATAAATGACAAAACTAAACAGACGAATATTAGCTAATTTAACAACCGAAATCCACTTCTGAGGGAAGATGTTGCACCTATGCAACATCAATTTTAAACCACCCCCTCGTGAAACCACATAAATCGTTCGAGGTTGCAATCAGTTTGTAAAGCTTGTGTATACACTATTCTTTTGCCCCGTGCAATGATATGACGAATTCGGTGTATAAGAATTGGTATAGTTGCTTAAATATGACCATGGTTCATCAGCCTGACACGAGCACCGGAGACCGCATCTTGCAAGAGACGCTTGCAGCGTCATCAGGCGGCGGCAATGCAAAATAGCAGTTGCATCTAACCAACTAAGTACCGCAGTAGTACGCTGAGTAGAAAAAAGCATTCTACGGCAGAAAATGTGGGTGATAGCTAGTTTACAATATGTTGTTGCATACGTGTTACGCATTCCCGGAGAGGGTTAATGGATAAAAAATACGACATATCAGAGCAAAAGAATACGTTTGACCTTTGCCCCCAAACATTATTTCTGTACTATTTTTGAGAGTGTTTGTGGACTTTGATAGGATAGGATTTACATATTTATCCCGGGGGAGAGGAAAGCCGATAAGACGGCTTATCCATATGGCGAACCACGGCCTCTCGTCCGGTTACCATTCCAAGTCGGGTATGGGATTGGTTTTACTGTAATATTTGTTTTCGGAAGCATGGACTTGATACCGGTACCGGTACTGTTCAGTACATCCGCGTAAATATATTGGATAAAAATTACGGGGGATTAGTGGACGATAACGTGTGAGAAATATCGTCGTGGTTCGTTATTATTTTCGACAATAATTTAATAGATGAAATTGATGGCCGCAAAATGGCTAAGCCACCCTATGGTGAAGTTTTAAACATTCCTTACCCCATCTATCAGTCTATGGCAAAGAAAATGCTGAAATGGGCTTAAAGTTGGATAGGAATTTCATATTTATCTTGACAGACATTTGTGTGCATGTGCTTAGAATCTACACCAGTTTTTACACCATTCTGCAGTTTCATGACATAGACTACTGAATCTAAATTATTTGCGGCTGTCCAATGACCAAAATTGCTCGCACCAGGATGGTCATTTCCAAATATTAAACTATTGCGAATACTTTCTAAAATAATATTTTGGAATTCCGAATACATTCTAAAATCATACATACACATTTTTTTAGTATATTATTATCCAGTAAAATAGGAAATAAGCTCCAATAGAAATATCAGAATAAATCCACAAACCAACAGTATACACTGAAAAAAAAATCGTAAGAATACTGTCCAATATCAGAGAAACTGGCGAATGAGTTGACGTTATACCTGCCCGATTACAAAAATGGAATCATTTTGTCCGAATCCGCTAAGTTATGGAGTATAACAGTCCAACTCGATAAAGGAGAATGAAAATCCACACAGCGCCCTCCGCTGTTGCGACGGAGCAATATGTTCCGCGGAGCGGAATACGTCGATCCATTCATTTTCGCCGGATTTTTTTTCGCCAAAATCGCTGCAATCAGATCTTAAACCATCAGTTGTTACGTCACTATATAGCCTGAAATTGAAAATCGAAACTGGCGCTGTTTGCTATTGACCGTCTTGATCTGTGTAGGTCTTCATGTCAAATTTATCGGGCATCGGCAAGAGAAATCAACAATATAGCGTTAGAGATGAGTTGTATAGGGGATTCGCAATGTTTTTCACACTGATAATGGATATATTCGCAACCGTGAAGATATTGAGGTAAGTTACCATGATTTTGTTTGGTCTACAAAATTCTGATATTTCTGTGTTGATAATTAATAATATCACAATATTTTTTTTTTCATAATAACATAATCTCACATGGAGCCGATTTCAATAATGTAATGTATTTTTTTATTCTAATGATTTTTCCAGGTACCGGTATACGGTTTGTCACTTATTATAGCCTGAAATTAAGTCTTTGCCTCAGTAGTGTTTTGTATTGTTCTGCCACCTTCAGGTCACTAGACCGCATACGTGAAACAAACTGCATACGGACGTTGTTCGCTTTATGAATGATAATCTATATATGCATTTCTCTCTCATGGGATAATTAGCGAAAAAAACTTGTCAAGTTATGGGTTTCTTTATGTTCTAAAATGTGTTAGCGAACATGACGAATTTGCGTAATACCAGATGCGTCCTCCACCCGGCGTAATAGCAGCTGACTTACTACAGAAAATGCCTTCTGTTCATTTTAGCTTTTCGTGAAAAAAATGCCAAATTATGTCTCAAGGGAAACTGCAAGTCTAAAGATATGGATTTGTGAGATTAGCGCCCATGTTACAAAATAGAACATTTCGGTCTTGCCCAGCGCTTCTATCTAAAACACATCCATAGTTAAGTATTTTTTTATTTCTGTTTAAGCTAGGCGATACGAATAATGCTACAAACATCGCCGGATGAGAACAGAACAGGCCTACGTCACAATTTCGAGTGTTGAGAAAAACGCAAAAAAAAAAAATTTTGAATTCCGTTATTTTTGAATTTCTAGAGTATTCACACTTAGTAAGACCTGAGCTCTGTTATTTCAAATGTGGATGAGGAATCTTTGTAATCGATTTATGTTGGCACTTCCTTTCTGTTTTTCACCCCCCAAAAAAAACTTTAGCCCATTCTGTTTCACAACTTTCGAATTTTTTTGTATGGGATGCAATGTAAAACAAGGTGACTTGAGCCTAAGTTTGCACTGAACAAATTCTTAGAGATGAAAAATTTCGAAATTTCTCAAAAATGTGACTTAGGCCGCTTCTGTTCTCATCCGGCTATATGGTAACACATTAGCATGAGCTACGGTTTTTTGAAGATGCCAACATATTTTGGGTTGTTGGGTTCTGAAAACCCAGTCCAAGCAGGTGAAATTCTAACAATTTGTATAATTTACCTGCTAGGACCGGGTATGCAGGATAGCTCAAATTCACACAAATATATGTTGCCATCAGTGTGAGCAACCCTTTGATAACATCTTCGCTGTCGACTTGTACAAAAGTTTCATTGTCTACTACCACAGCAGGCATGCCGGCAGCTTCTCGAGTTCCGGGAAACGCGAGTAAGGCTGACGTTTGGGTTTGCGCTTAATGCCATCTTCGCCAAATTTGGCCATTGCTTGGAAGAGCGGGGCCACTATATAAATGTTTCATCAGAGTAAAGATGTTTTCGGCCGCATTTTGGTGACCTATTTTAGCTTCCGCAGCTGCTTCAAAAACTCTGAATCTTTTTTGGTAATGGTCACATATTCGTCAATATTTATGACCTTTTTCTTTACCAAGTAGGCCATATCTTCGATAAGCTGTAAAATATGAAAACCGTTATTAATATCCAAATACTTATAGACGTATGAACACCTAATAAACTGAAATTTACTATATCAGACGTACAGAAATCTTCTTAAAATTGACATCGTATTTAAACAGAATTATTGAAAATAGACTTTAATAGCCCTCTGATTTGTGACAAATGATTTTCATTCATTGTGGATATTGGATAAGTGGACAAAAATATGCACTCACCACATAATAGTTTTGGTATTCTGGAAAAAGACTTTTTGTGCGCTCTGATCTTTTCCTCCATCAAAGGCAGAGATGGCTTCCGATTCTCTCCCATGATCTATTTGTTTTCGGTGTCGACTTTTCTCTCTTTTGTCGACTTCTCTTGATAAATGTTTTAAATTTTGTAAAGTTGCCTCTTGGCTGTTAGCCCTCTTTCTTAAATGGTATGCCAATTCGAAGAATCCACCTTGTGGATACCATCGTCTATTTTTCAGGATCGGATATTCTAGCCCAGGTTTTGTGCTATGCCAAGTCGTTCCTGTCTGTTTGGCTTTCTGTCATTAATTGATAGCATATGGAATATATATGTCTTGTTAACGGCTAGATACAAGGCTTTGCTCAGGGGCGATTGTGCGCTATTGAGGCAGTTTTTAAAATCGGTGCATATAGGAAAGGGGGTAGGAATTGGACTTGGGTAATGGATAGGAGAAGAGCTTGGAATTTCGATATTATCAGGTTTTGCGGGTGTAGAGGTGCTTTGGTGAAATTGCTCGTCAATTGCTGGGATGGGTGTGGGTGGTGTGAAATTGCTGCCTTCCGAAGAGTTCTGTTCTGGATTATCTGAGCAAAGGTCTAGAACCGGCAGCGTGTCATCCGAGGAATACAAGAGATCTAACATCTCCCCCCGCTGTTGTGGAGTTGTCTGAAATATCAAAATTTATATTTATTGCTTTGAAACAAACGTACATTAACCGACATCAACTTGTCATTGCACAAATGTATTGAAATAGCCTATTCTGAAAATCGGAGACGGAATCCATCCAGGTGGCTTCTTTGAAATGGCGTATGATTTGAAGGGAGTCACAGCCAAAAGTTAACTTGAGAAAATTTTAAGGATTCGTCAGAGATATGGAAAAGTCGACACCGAGCACAAATAGAATCGCGGAGCGCAAAAAGTCTTTCCGGAGTACCAAAACTAATATATGTGGTAAGCGGTGGCGTATCTAGGGTGTGGCCGCCATGGCTCGTGCCATTGGCGCCATTTGAACAGGATCGTCAAAACGGCAAAAACTATTAGCCATGATAAGTTTTAATAAACTAACTTTAAATTGAGAATAACAGAACTCGTATTTTTCCTCAAATAATAACGTACAATTATCTCAATTCAATAATAGTCATTATAAATTGTCCAACAACTGTGTAGGGGGCGCCTTTTTAGACTTTGCCATTGGCGCGATTTTACGTAGATACGCCTCTGGTGATAAGTGCATATTACACTTCCAAAGCGAAATTACGGTCAGCAAAATATATTGGAATCTGCTATCCACAATGACTTGTTACATGCCGGGAGACTCGATATTTTTAATAGTTCTGTTTAATACGATGTCAGTTTCCAAACATAATTAAACCAGTGTGGATTACCTATTTTGTGATGCGATTAAGCATATCAAATAATGCCTCTATTATTTCCAGGGCGATGAAAAGGGAGTCTGAAATATTATATACATCTCACATTACAAAATCAAAGTAGCCTACCTTGGGTGGTTGGCATAGGCACTCTTGCAACATTCGTCTGTCTCTAAACGGCAAGTCGCTAAAAAGACCGTACACTTCCTGGAGGTTTAGAGGTAAGTCCTCGATTTCAATTCTGGCATCTGAAAATGATGTTCATCTTATTACTTCTGAATGCCTCGTTTAAAACTGACATAGGCGCGACTCTCCATAATTTTAATATTATACATTGCTTAAAATTAAATATGAATAACAATAATCCACCTTTAAATGTTACTATTCTTTTCGAGAGTTTTTATTAATCACTTTCGTTGTTCCTGTCAAAAAATGTTACTTATTTTAACCTTAATGAAGTTATTTAAAAGTATTGTGGGGAGATGGTTATAAATAGAAATTACGAGAAATATTTTTGCGCATTATAAATATCGTTTTAACTTTAATTCGGAAGCATGGTAATAAAATAGAACTTCCTATTGAAACTTCGCTAGCATAAGTGGTCCTTGCAATGTACTAAAAAAGGCTTGTATACGCGGAAGTTTTCGTTTTAATAATTTATTTTATCGGGCTTCGAAGTTTAAATCGCTTGCAATGCGGAGTTGGAACAAATTTTTTTGTTTTAAGTACCGTAAGTTTTAATAATAAATTTTTTTGACCGCGCAAAACCCTGCGAGCGCAAGAATTCATTATAACCTGACTCACCTTGGATCCTACGAACGAAATCCGGGCTGAGCCCACAAGCGATGGCGTGTGCTTCCATGGCTAGAAAAGTTGAGAAAGAACGATCTATACCGCACGTGGTCTTAGTTCTAACAATCTATTGTGATGCAACTTGCTCTTGCGACACATTAACTTTGCTTTACATTCATACTTGTTCATGCAAAACTCGGTATTACATTTTTGAAGACGCCCTCTGTGACATAACAAGATGCTTTCGTCGCACGCGCTGGGATAATAAGATATCTCAAATTTCGTTCTGAAGTTGGTACACGCATTTGTAAATACGATTCGTGATATAAATTAATCAAGCACCTATTATGTACATCTCGATTTCAGTCTAGAATATTGTATTGGGGTGCTCCCGATGTATGTGTACCAAGATGGCGCACAACCTAAAAAATAGTATTGTACCAGGTTAGGATTCAGGTTGTGCGTCATCTTGGTACTCATACTTCCGGAGTAGGGGCATTAATCCATAATTTGATTTCTAATATATACAGTAACGTAAAATAGCTTTAAATTTATTATAAATATACCGCTATTCGGTAAATATTATTCATGGAACTATACAAGTGCCGATCGTGCGTTTTGAATAGAAACGAGGATTATTTTTCAACTTCTATCGTGATATACCACTGCCATCTACGTCAACACTCAAGAACTGGTGTTCCCTATATATACTATTGCCAACTGGATTTATGCACAAAATTTTTCTCATCATACAAAACATTGAAACGCCACTGCCAACGATCTCACGCGGACTTGGTGTGCAGTTACAAAGAATGCAATGAAGATCCTGATATCCCTGATAAATCTAACATTCAAGAAACGGACTCTGTGGCAGAAATTCATGATGTATCTGCAACTGGAACTATCGGTAGTTCGGATGAATGGCAGAGAGATGCAGCATTATTCATTCTACAAATTCGAGAAGTACACAATTTGACTGAGGTGAGTATGTTGACTGTTAATGTCAACGCTTCAAAATTCATTATACTGGGTGGATGATCCCAGGAGAGGACTCAATCCCTTTTATCGGGCTTCCTCGAGTATCTTATTATGACTAATATGGCTTGCGAGTTATTTGCTTTCACTTTGATAAATATTTTGTTGTATTTCTACCAGCAATTAGAAATGGATTGGGAAGTTGATTCATTTAGCTTATAATTATTTTTTTAACTACAGCAAGCGACTACCGATGTTATAAGAAAAACGGAGCACTACATGAAGTCTCTGTATCGACATATCATTGATCAAGTGAGGCAGAAGTTTCCACCTGACGTATTCGACAGATTCAAGCAAGTCGTCGATGAGGCAGCCGGGCCAATAATCAACCAGTTTTCCTCAGTTTCGACGTCTTATATGCAAGACAGATTCCTGGTAAACAATTTTAATATGATTCTGCCAGAAGCAGTGGTCATAGGAACGTCATTGGATTTCAAAGAAACTCAAAAAGACAGGCGAGTTATTGACAGGCCCCACATTATGCAATACATTTCTCTTGAAAAAACGCTGAGAATTCTATTCCAGGATGCATCATTTTTTGAAATGTATGAATCCTACAAACTGCAGGATAATGTCACGGGTATCTTGACGGACTTCAAAACAGCTATTGTCTGTCGTCGCCATAAAACATTTTCCGCGGATGTAGGAGCTATACAAGTTCTTTTATATTTCGACGACGTGGAACTCTGCAACCCTCTTGGCAGTAAGGTCCGCAAACATAAAATATCATTTTTCTATGTGTCTTTTGCAAATCTCCATCCAGAATTACGATCCCGTTTTTCTGGTATACACCTTCTAGCTATTGCGCTTACAGATGATCTTAACAAGTTTGGTATTGATAAAGTACTAGAACCGTTTTATTCTGAAATTGAACTCTTGAGTGAAAAGGGAATGAAATTCGTTACTGCCAATGGAAAGATCAAAACTTTGAAATGCGATTTGGCTTCTGTAATAGCTGATACACCAGCAGCGCATCAAATTTTAGGTTTAAAAGAGGGAGTGGGATTCGCCTATAGGAAATGCAGGAAATGCATGGCTATAAACGAAACGATACAGACATCACATAGAGAGTGTGATTTCACTCTTCGGAGTTGTGCACAGCATTTATCTCAATGTCAATACCTCAACAAAACTACATCGGTAGCTTATGGTATTAATCGTAAATCGACTATTTTTGATCTCAAAACTTCGACCCATTCACCAGCGTACCGCAAGATGCAATGCATGTCATCTTGGAAGGGTGCATTCCCTACACTCTGCAACAATTATTACAACATTTACTCCGGGAAGAAACAATTGACATTGCAATTTATAAATCAGCGCATAGAAAAGTTTCCATATGGTTATCTCGACCGTACCAACAAGCCTAGTCCTATATATCGTCACAAGGCCAAATGGGGAAGTGAAGCTACGACAATCTGCTTCTCAAATGTGGCTGCTCGGTCGAATTTTACCGTTTTTTAGGCGATACTGTTGATCTAGAATCTGAGCCATGGCAGTGTTTTGTAACGCTTTTAGAGATTACCAGCATTGTTTATCTCCGGTTATTTCCGAGAACATTCTTCCTTATTTGGGACATTTAATAGCACTGTACTTGCAAGATTTTCGAAGTTGCTTCCCGGAGGCCAATCTCATCCCAAAACAACATTACCTTGTGCATATTCCTTCGGATATATATAATCTTGGACCATCATCCAGAATGTGGTGTATGAGATTTGAGGCTAAACATTCGTTTTTTAAGGGACTTTCGAAGTCGAAAACGGCATCTTTCAAAAATATCACCAAACATCTGGCTTTCAAACATCAAAAAAATTTTGCTATGTTACTTGCCAGTGGCCAAGCGTTTTATCACACTGAAACTCTCGGACCTACCCTAAAAGTCGATTGGTCAATGTCCGATGAATTAACATCGTATTTAACTGAGAAGCGAATAACTAATATTGTTGCGTGGGTTAAGCCGAAAGGTTGTATTTTTCGTCCTGGATGTTTTGTCGTGTATAGCGTATTGAACGATATGCCCGTTTTCGCCGAAGTGTTAGCAATTTCAAAATTTTCAACGATTTTGTTTGTTGTTCGTGAATATTGCACTAAAGGGGTGGATGAAAATTTGAATGCATATTATATAGAAAAGGGACAAACTTTAAGCCTTATTTATTATCGAGAACTATTATATTTCGATGCTATGATGTCGTACAGTCTGCTAGAAAATTTCTTTTTACCTATCAAAGTTGATTTATCAGGATGCGTGGATCAATATTTGAAACAGCGTCTTCTGCTCTGAATCACAAATAAAAAATTTGTTAACAGAGCCCGAACATGTTCTATGACTATTTTTATCAATTTTTTAACTGTTAAATTTTATGACTTCTAATCTTGAAGGTGTGTTTCGTAAAATCTCGAATGGTGTAGTCATTCAAGTTGAACTGACGTCATATAGTTTCTATATCGATAAAAATTATATGTAAACGACTATTTTTCGTGTACGAGAAAGGGAAATATTATTGTCCCGATTGTTTACTTTATTCGCAGTAAACTTTATAGCCACGTTCGTAGCATATCAATTTCAGATAAATTATTGTTAATCGAGGCGGATAATTAATAACCGCAGTGGGTGACATTGTGACGCACAGTACACCCGGTGTTACGGCCTATAATTTGCCACGTGAGGCGCGACATCAAATGTCCATATATATTCCAATCGGTGTGTTATTGTGACGATTACAATTGGATTCTTGTGGCTAATAAAGTGACGGCGAATTATCGTTTAAAATCGCGACAAAATATTTCCATTTTTTTGGAACGTACTTCACCGTTATTTTTTTCAGTGTATTTACACAACAAAGTATTTGATAGTTTATAGCTTTCATTAAAAAATATTAGCAACTTGTGACAAAGTAGATTTATTGAAATTTTATACTTTGTATAATTGGCCACATGGAAAGGAGTTCTTTAATGCTTATGTCCTTGGGACCATGATATTACCATAATAGTTTATTGGCAAAAGTACTATTTGTATTTAGATAATTTTGCAGCGCGCATGTGCTATAGTGTGTGCGATGCGTTTTCTCGAAGTTTCCATTGAGAAAGTTTTCATTCAATGAAGACGCTTTCAGAGCGGTGTCGCAGATGTGTAACATCACACAATAATCCGATATTCTTATGAACGTTAATTTCGATATTCGAATGACGAGATATTTGAATACATTCGAAAATCGGTACTTTATTCGAATTGGCCATCTCTGGCTCGGACGTCCCGTAATTTGGCAGTATAATTTAGCAAAGATTGTGTTTTCTTGCGATACCAATTCAGCCATAGTTAATTTTTGATGTTACAAGATTATTAAAATATGTTTGATAAATTGTAATTTATTCAGATAGTATTTTTAAAGTATACTAAGATGAATAGGCGACCTTACATACCAGGCTTCCATTCTCCATACGATGACTCATTAGTATTCAACTTCACCCAACCACAGCCTTCTCACAGTCACTTCCAACAATATTCTGTTAAAAGAAAACGACCTGCTCCTCCAAGGTAAGAAATGGTTTCTTCATTGTTCAACCAACTGTTGAAATCTTATATTCCGCTTATCCCAATTTTTCCTCTGAACTGTACATGCAGTCACTGGCATTGTCTAACAATATCTTCATTTTTCTAACCAACTCAATTTATAACATATTAATTACAATTTATTAGCTATAAAGATTTGGGGTCTCCTGAAGTACACGCCGCACGTACTTATAGTTGGCCTGGCTCAACAATTTTTGCATAAGTCATACCTAACCCTCACCTGAATCATCATCCGAAATCGAGCCAGCTATTTTTCTTGTCGAGACTATACCGATAAGAGAGAGGTCGCTGACGAGTTCATTACAGTCGTCCCAGACTCTATTTCGGACGATCGTAGCTATACTTTAGCAAGCTCTATGACGTGATTGTGACGTCGCAGTGATGTAATTTTTGGGTGACGTACTCAAATGGGGGTTAGGAAAATTATAATAATGAAATTGTTATGCTTCACGGCGCGTACTTCAGGAGACCCAAGATATGTATATACAGTAGCTGTATGTATATTGCCCTTTCGATTTATTACATCCTTGAATGAGGTGTTGGGATTGGATTTGAACTTTACATGTGTTTTGCAGAATCAATAAATCACAGGATAGTTGACATAATTGCTATTCTGATACAGCTACATTCCAAAGTAGATTGTTCAAAAATAGTTTCTCATAAATAGAAGCTTGCTCAGTCAGAAAGAAAAGTTTGAAGAGTGTCGTAATAAAAGAATAATTATTACCGGTACTTTCTTACCGTTTCTTATATAGCGATAATCTCATACCTATATCTTGAAATTTTGAAACATTCACTTTATTCTAACGTGTCATTCTATTCAGGAAGCCTACATACAGCGCACCATTGCCAATGAGGTTCTCAGACCTTCATCGGACCAAAGCCCCAACCCATCACCAAACCACACAAGCTGTTGGATTTAAGAAACGTTACTTTGACAAATCAGTTAAACCCGGGAATGTGTCTTCTCAGAATGAACAAAAAATAAAGGTATCAGTCCTGCTTGTTTCCTTATCAACAGTATGTTAGAAGAGGGGACTCTACAGAGTGGGAGTTTTGACTTCCCAGTAGGTCGCAAAAGGGGTCAATTATTGCCAGAATTAACCATACTTAGTTACTTACTCCTTTTGCCTCATCTTATCTGTGCGAAAAGTCTTTTTCGACATTAACTAATGTTGAAACAAATTATTAATCAAATATGGGAGGTTTGAAATCAGCACTAAGAGCCAAAATTACCAAAATAGAGCCAAGATTCGACCTTTTGTGCGAGCACACCTGTCTCATTAAAGTTCCAGAGGGTTGTGAAATAATTTAGCTGTGCCAAGTGGATTGTGATGAAATAAGTTTGATGAACACTGTATTGGAGAATGTTATATGCAACTCTTTAATTTTAACCAATCAACTTTCCTATCTAAAAAGTAAATCGAACAGTGTATTTCAGTTTTTTGTTGTAAGAAATTCTATATTTATCCTAGTAATAGTTAAAGTGGTCAGACATTTTTATCATTATGTCTTACCATGGCCTCTTATCCAGTCATGTTGTGTATGAAAATAGTCCACCCGGTTATTGTCTTACTTACATAGACTTGATGAAGAAAGCCATAACCAACAACAACATTTGAAGCAGTTAATATCAATACAATCAGTAAAAATGCTGTATTAGTTGAGTTATTGTACTGTCTACTCAATTATGACTTTGTATTTACAGGGTTTGAAACGAAAGGTTTTTTCTGAAACAGCACCTGATTTCATAAGCCTTGATGCCAATGGTAAGTTGCTATGAATTAATGGACATTCAAGATACAACGCTTATCATGTCTTTCACTCTGAACAAGGCCTTTTACAAGCAGCTAATGATATGTGAGAAGTTACAAATTAGTTGGAAGAGACAAAACTTTTGGATTTTTAAATTTCCCAAAGCCTTGATAAGGTTTTACCCGATATCTGAACCTACAATGCCAACATAGTGAAACTCCTGAACCACCAGGCTAATCCACTAAATCAGGGGTTCCCAAACCGCGGGCCAAATACGGCCCGACTGACGGTTTAATATGGCCCACAGAATTGAAATGACATTATTACCATTTGGTACATCTGTAGTATGTGTACCAGGTTAGGGTTAGGCCATAATTTTATTCTGTTTTATTTTTATTTTAAATCTATTACGAGTTCTTGACTGTCTGTGATAGCCAAGTGAATATACACTCTGTCCATGGGATTCAGTCGCTTTACACAACTTGATGTAAAGTAGGCGAACAAAATTAGTTACCTCCATATTGGAACATATTTCTGAAGCGCTAAACATTTCATACTTTTTCTTTTGGTGTTCTATATACCACCAAATGTTACTAATTGTCACAGTTCCAAGCATGTGCATATTCATATATTAGTAACAATTCGGTTCAGTATCCTAATTACACATACCGGTACTGATTATCTGCCTTGAATCAATCATTTTACCACAGCTTTTAACTATACGAAAGGGGCTTTTTTTTAATAAAAGTTGGAATATTGCCAGTGCGGCACCTACACTATGGATATGTGGTGAACCAGGATAGTATGTTACATTCAAACTTTTCCTTAATTATTTCAGAACCCCCCAGGAAACATGTCAGACTAGAAGATGCATCTTATGACCAAAACCACAATAAACCTGAATCCTTGGAACCTTTCTCATTGCGAGAGACAAGAAGATTATTTATATCTGACTCAGTGAGTACTAAAGTGTTTATTCCGGTGTTTTCAAACTTACATGACCTTCGAGTTACCTTCATTTAAATGCTGTCAATACCCCTGCTCTCCCATAAAAACCTTATCTCACTTTTAAAAAATGCATCAAACATTCAAAATGACAAGTATTATGTTATACAATGTTCACTAATGAGAAAACTCGAGGTCATGAACATCGTCCCAGGGTTGCAAATGCGATTATCTCGACATAGAATCAAAGTAGCCTATGCCACCTTGCAAGGTTCTGAAAAAAACACATTTTCATAATTCTTAGATTCGTACAGTCCAGTGCGAAAATATACTTAGTGTTCAACCTGAAATCAAAACTCGAACAATTATAGTTTGAAATCCAGACCTAAAGATTTCACTTGGTGTATAATAACAGATCAAAAATTTCATTTTTCAAAATTTGTGACAAGAGCTACTTTCATTTTAGTACGGCGATACAAGGTCATTGCTTTTTGCTAGTTTTTTTTGTTTCAATGTTTCGTTTTTTTACTTACTGAGTTTGTTTTATTTAGTTTTCTGAACAAATTCATCAGTTTTACATGAAAAACAGACAAGAAGAAAATTTTTTAAAGAAAAAGCAGCAACTGCAATCGGTGAGTCTGTATGGATTGGAATGCCTCCTAACATTAATAAGAATAGATTTGTCATGTAACAGAGATATAGGGTCAAGAAATAGAAGTGAGCGATATTTACAACGCTTAGTCATGCTTTTTTTTACTCTGAATCGGGCACTGTATAGGAAGCCGTTTCTGATACCATGTTTCCCTGAAAGTAAGACCTAGCCTGAATCTCAAAAATAATTTCAATATTAGCTCTCCCATTAAAATAAGACCTAGTTGATCAGTTTTCATATTTCGTATATTTAAAAATCTCGTAATTCTCTACTTTGTAATTTCGTTTTGGATAAATGAGAGTAGAAGACATCCCCGAAAATAATCCCCAGTGTTATATTTCATAAGAAAATTGAAATAAAACCCTGTCTTATTTTCGGAGAAACATGGCAGGTGAGGAGTAGGGCTGTCCAAGCGAACCAAATATTCGAAATCGAATCGCAATTTATTCAAATCGATTTCCGGCTAATTTTCAATCACTAAAATTAGGTACAGAAAGCGGAAACCACCTTTGCAGGACGTTTTTTATCGGGCAAGCGGCGGCGCTTCGAGCTTAGACCACTCTCGCTCGGTTTTGGACAGCCCTAGTAAGGAGCTTTCAGGTTCAAATTTTCTTATAGACTTATTACAACAATGGGTGAGGTTGTTGGTATGGAATTAGAATCCAAGTTTTTTAGCCTGTGATGACAACATATTTATTATGTCTAACCATGGCATTGGTCCCATAGATACTGACTGACACAGTATACTTACTGATAGGCAGAGGGTTTGCTGCAAATCAATATTATATTTTTTCTCAAAGACACGTCGACGTCACACAAGGATATATATAACTAATTATTATTTATCAAAATTTTTAGATCTTCTGTATCGATAGTTTCTATTTGCTGCTTGTCTTGTACGTATCCAAAAGCCTGAATAAACACATAAAAATTACAGCTATATTTCTAGGCTAAAACTTTCACATTTTTCAGGCTCTTGAGAACGCGATCAATCGAACATCAGGAAAAGATTGCAAGTTAGTACTTGTTGGTTCTTCTATCAATGGATTTGGCAGAATCACAAGTGATGCCGACTTCTGTCTCATCATTGATAAATATCAGGAAAAGCTAGCGGTATGTCTTTGCGTTTCTATTATTATCCAGAGATATGACAGCTGAAAAATAATCAAGTTGTGTTCAAATCTTTCAAGTCGCGCCCCCTTCTCAGAATTTGTCGAGTCACACGCCCCATCTTAAAAATAACTAGCTAACAATATGCTGCAAATTATAGATAGTAAGGCAAAAGTGTGTTTTATTCGAAACAAAAGCGCTGAAAATACGTGGATACCATGTAAATATCCAGAATATCATTTCAAAACCACTGATAATTTGAGAATTCTAGGATATTGCCTATTGTTAAACTGCTATGTCGCTGCAGATAAACCATATTAGCTTATATCTCATATTGAGGTTTTGATTATATCTCGATTTTGTAAATCATATATTACACAAACCTAAAAATGGACATGAGGCACTAACTAAAATCAAAACATAAGCTATTTCAATTTTACTTCGGTGCAAGGATGCTTGAACAAGATAGTATTAGAGTGATAAATAGGAATAACAGGAAATAGCAAATGTTTTTGTTTGGGTTATAGCATAAGTCATATCTTGTTTTGTCTGGAGAAGTTATGTAACGAAACATCTCATTTCAAGCATTCCTGTCACCATAAGAGTAGAATAAAAAAAATTATTCGAATGTGTGTCTAAAATCTTTTCAAGACGATATTAGTTGAGTTGTTAGGTCTATGGGAAGTGAGTGCTCATGTACAGCCTTGTTTGAACCTGAGAAAACATCCCATATATTCACCTATCTTCTAACATCAGTTTTGTCTCCTACAGAATCGGCGTAGAGTGATGAGAACATTATACGAGGTTCAACAGCTACTCAGAAAAGCACCATTTGCTCGCATGTTGCAGGTTATACCAGCAAAGGTAAGTGGCCACTGAGGTTGTTGCAAACTACTGTCCAATCTAATATAATTACAATATGCTCAGAAGGTTTCAGTGTAACATACTTCGTAATAGAACTAAAAAATAGGAAAAATCAGAATAAAACTATGGCCTAACTCTAACCTGGTAGCTGGTACACACACTATGGGAGTACCGATCACTGTATATTATTAATGCGCAAATGTATTCCTATACCAGCTATTCATTCTTATATATTTGCACTGGTGAATACGTATGTGTATAATGCAACGTTGCTGTTGTAATTAAAATATGTTTGTCTGAAGAAGTCAACCTCATCCAGTCTTAACATTACTGAAATATATCAGTCAGAAACAAGACTATGGAATCTATTAGAATAGTCCTATTTACTCTTGCTGAAGCATCCTCACATTATAAGTATACAGATCCACTAGCACAACAAGATAGATGAGTTAGTTTTGGTATTTCTGTGGGAATAACTCCAAAGCCCAGCCCCAGAGCAATTGGTGTTATTTGGCACTAACTACCTATTCGTTTTTCTATGTCTCAGACAACTAATGCATTCATATGCATATAATGCAAGGATGCTGTAGCAGTTGAAATAAGATTGCATTCAAAGGAAAATGTTGTTTTTGTGTGCAACAAAACTCTTGAATAACATAGATAATCTTCTTTACTCTTGCTTCAGCATCCTTGCATCATATGCATACAGATTTATGCTAGTGTGCAGTAAGATTATGCGGCCACTTCCTTTTTCAGGTCCCTATACTGAAGTTCACGGATTCATATTCCGGGATGGAATGCGACGTAAACGTTAATAATTTGACCGGAGTCAGAAACACTGAGTTGATGAAACGATACGCCATGTTGGATCCGAGGTAAGATTCCGATTGTGTCCTGTGAAGAACTAATTTCTTTGAATGCATAAATAATTTTGCACGGCGTCTTTGCCATTGTCAAGTGAAGCGTCAAATTTGCAAATACAAATGTTAATTTCGCGATTTTAACTTTCTTGATGATTGAAGTATTACCATGTTGAAAAATGTTAGGCCAAGAGTAAGTGACCAGAGTTAGCACTCGACCCTCTACTAGACAGAAGAAAAGGTTTTTGAATGCTCTTGAGGGGGAGCTATGGGGCCGATGGTTAGCGCATTGCAGGGTCGTCCAACCCGTGGCCCGCCAAGGAACTCCGAGTGGCCCGCGCTGTATTTTCGGAATTAAATAAAAAAAGGAGTAAAACTTCTATTTTTCGAGTGATGTAGTTAATATGAGGATTTGATACAAACAATTTGTTCATTTTCCTGAAATGCGCTCTGCTGGCCCTTTCAAACGAGCCATGAGTGCCATTTGGAATAGAAACCAACTGGAAGATATCGATACATAAATATTCGCTTACACCCTTGGGCAGGATGGCAGTTTTAATGACCCCATTATTTGGCAGCACTTACTTGTACAAATAAGTTTTTTCACAGATGAACCATGTCAAATCCCCTGTGAAATCACTAATTTCTGACAGTCATATGGAAAATTCGCTTCGCATTGCTACATCGTCCATCTCAGCAAATATTGACAAACTTGTTAGCGAAAAACAGTGCCAAACTTCACACTAAAATATCTACGTGTAGAAAAAAACTTTGTTGACTTCACTGTATTTTCATTTTTTTATTGTTCTTATTATTGAAAAAGTTTAGTGCAAGGGTTTTGTTTGTTTTTTCATTAACTTTTAGTCAGTGTAGCAAAACTAGAACATAATTACCATGTGGCCCGCGCAATTAATAGTAAACTAAATATGGCCCGTCGGCCAAAAAAGTTGGCCGACCCTGGCGCATTGGATTCAATCCGAGGTAAATGAGATGGATTCCATTCTTATCTATTCATAACTAGTGTCTGTGTTGCAATCACAGGTTGGAATGTCATGCCCACCACCTGACCCAAGAAGTAACAAATTTGATGGTGATCCACTGGCCGGAATGCAAAAGTTTGGATATGCAAGCTAAGACTGCTAGGAACGCTTAGTATAATTAATGCTTTTGTGGTGAAGTTAAGACATATTTCATCTCTATTGAGTTCCTGGGATTCTGACCTTTAGCAAATCAGAATTCTGACCTTTAGCAAATCAAAATTCTGACTTTGACTTTGGGAAGTTTGAGAATAAGGATTCAGACACCAGTGAAAACATGTTTGAAGCTAATCTTCGCATCCCGGCTTCTGATTCTTACTGATATTTTATCTCTTATTCAGAGTTCAACCCCTGGCACTCATCATCAAGGAATGGGCCCACCAACGTAAAATCAACGACGCCAGCCAAGGAACCATGAACAGTTATTCTCTCGTTCTAATGGTCGTTCACTTCCTTCAGGTATTAGATGACTCTTGAATTCCATAGATTAGTCATCTTCACTCTTGCTACAGCATCTTTGCCTCATAAACATATGGAATCACCGGCACAAAAGCGTAAAAGAAAGATAAGTAGTTAGTCTTGTACAAGTCCAATCGATAGCACAAATCTTGCATAAAATTGCATAATTTTAGAATTCTGTATTGTTTTTGTATTTTTTTCTAGTCTGTTAGACTTGTTCTATACAAATTTTGGCACTCCTGAAGTATGTGTGCCAACTTGATATAAATTTCGGGAGCTCCCACACTTGCACACAACGAATAGTGTCTGATTACACTTTGCTTAAAATCGAGTTGTTTTATTTCTGACAGTGTGGCATGGATCCCCCAGTTCTACCAAGTTTGCAAGTAAAATATCCGGAATTGTTTCGGCCGACAACTCCTGTCATGAATGTCGGTTCACATGGAGATCGGTGAGTTTTTTGCAAACTTTGTTTTATCCAGGAAATTCAGTCAAATTGACTCTTCTGAAAACAATTTGGAGAAAAATTTAAATGTGTAGTACCAGGAGGGTTTTGAATCGGATCCTGTTCAACAGAGATATTGCTAGTGATCACAAAACACATATTCAATCTTTGCATTTGTCTTGCGACTCGTGGCTAGTTTTAATGGTGCTTCAGAAAGTGTGTGTACGAATACGGAGGTAACTACTTTTGTTCGCCTACTTTACATCAAGTTGTGTAAAGGGACTGAAACCTATGGGCAGGGGGCTAACCTGGCTAACACAGATAGTTCGGACTAGTAATAGAACTAAGTGGGTTCACAGAATTGAATGTAGCGAGGGATAATTATGTGCGACAAGATTTGCTGGACTCATCTCCACTGTATGGTGGTTCATGTAACTACTGGTTGGTCCACCATCAAGTTCATGCATCTGAAACAAATAACTGGTTAACTAATTCCTTACACGATATGGAATGGCAACCAAGTAAGAGGCCAAGGTTCTAATGCTTAAGTCGTCCCATCTGCTTTCTACTCGCCAGGGAAAATAATACATTCTATTCTATGATTAAGTCTTTCTTTTCCTGAGATAAAAAATGAAATCCAATCCCTTATTTACAGAGTGAAACCGTATCGGTCAGAAAACTTGATGAATCTTTCTCAACTTCTGAAGAAATTTTTCGAATATTTTGCGGAAACTTTTGATTTTGAAATCCAAGTGATGTCAGTGAGACTTGGGAAGGTGAGTGACCCTGAGTTAGTTGGAAAACATTTATTTTGAACTTTGTTATTGTCTGAAAAAATAACAGTTTTTAAAAACTAATGCTATAGGACTTACTACTTATCTTTCTTCCATGCTCTTGTGCTGGTGGATTCTCATTCGTTTAATGCAAGGATGCTGTAGCAAGATTGAAGATAACTATCCTATGTGATTCTTGCTGCACACTAACACAAATATATTTCAGTAACGTTCCGCCTTACCATTGTCAAATTTCTTCAGAGATACATAGTTCAACTATATCAAACATTAAAATTCGGGAGTAAAAATAACCGAACCTCAAACAATCCCAAATATATGAAACAAAGTACTTATTCATCCACCTCCATGTAAATTAAAACCCAGTCGTACTGCTTAATCACATGGCAGTCATGCCAACTGGCTCTAAAGGCATGCAATTCAATTCCACTTCATAATTCAATATAGCCCTTGGCGTTTCAGCGGTCTCCTGTAACTGAGTCTCCTTTACTTCTGAGTGGATTTTCATATTTATCCTGGGGAGAGAAAAGCCGATAAGACGGCTTAACCATATGGCGGCTTAACCATATGGCGAACCACGGCCTCTCGTCCGGTTACCATTTCATGTCGGGTATGGGATTAGTTAGGTATTTGTTTTTCCGAAGCATGGACTTGATGGTGGAGGAAGCCGTAACGGACCAGCGGTTACGTGAACCACCCTACGACGGCGAGGATTCCAGCAATCTTCTTGCACATAATCATCCCTGCATGGGATTGAACCTGCAAACTCACGCAGAGTAATCAGAGGTGCGGCGGCGAGCGTATTCCTAACGCTTAGCACGATGAGCCACACCGCCACGACGAGTGAGTACCAACACCATGCTTCTACCTATTTTAGTAGCCCTCGGCATTTCAGCATAAGTTTGAGCCAACGAATTTTTATATACATTTCAATTATTAATTATAATCTTGCTAAGATAGTGGGGTTTGTGCCAGAAATGTTTAATCTGTGACTTCTCTAATTGCCAGTGTTGGATACAAGTCCCTGCAGTACTAATTGAGTCCTAGTAAATTTAAAGTAAATATTTCAAGACTGACTTCGAGTCCTATTGCAGGCCCTGTACATAGATGAAATTATGTCAACTGGTAAGGAATGGGGCAGAATGATAAAGATAGAAGAACCGTTTGATTTAACAAACACTGCACGAGCTGTGCACCAGGACCTCACAGCCGAACGAATTATCGGACAATTCAGGTTGGTTTTGACTTCTGCTCTTAGGCATGACCAAAAAGCTGGATGATTTACTCTGACCCTGTCTCTGAACTCCAAACAAATTTTTGTTATTGAACACCTGGTCATGCGTTGATTGCTTGTTGAAAATACTCAGTCATTGCTTTTCGAATTTTTTTCGGATTATAATTTTTTTTTTTTGATTATAATCTTCTATAGTTTCTCTCTGAATCATTCAAAATTACGATTTTGGCTTCAGGCTTTGGGAAGTTAGTTCAAAAATATGAATAAAACATTTGTTGTTAATGCAAGGCACACAGTGGCCATAGGCATTAACTTCATGTATGTAGCTGGTTGCTTACTTGTGAGCTAGTAAGTGTCTGTACATGGTGCTGTTTGACTTGTATCATATAGTCTGTAACATTGAGTGAGTTCATCAACACAAATATCATAAATTGAATGTACAGTTAGCGATTTATGGATCTCCACAAGTCATGCAGTCATCAGAATTTCACAATCATTCCAGATCTTGAATAAAGGCTTCTAAAGTTTTCATTTACTTCCCACAGATCGGCAAACCGAATTCTACAACGAGGCAAAGGTCTTGAACATTTATTGGAAGGAGTTTCACCAAGGTTAAAGAATAACGTTATTGTGCTTGATGATGATTCATGACAGAGGTGGATTCAGAATAGCAGTTCTGAGATTGCAGTCCTTAACAAAAAGTACTCATATCTGGACAGTAATACAGTACATAGAGTTGGGGTGGTTGAACCACTTTACACACTTGTTTGCTGACACTTTTGACCTAACATGCGACAGCAGTTAAAAGAATAATACCATATCAATTATAAAAATAAAGATAGTTTGCTTTAGTCTGTCCATTGACTAACCAACAGTTCTGGCAAGCCAACAGGAGTAATCATCACCTCTCGCCCTTGTTTACTTCTAGTCCATTTGCGACCCCAGCAGTCACAAGAATGTTTGAATTGTACAATATTAAGAACATAAATGGCGTGATAAACATAATCCAAAGTTTGGTTCATTCACAAATCAAGTACTCAGGTCCAGTGGTGGGATTCGAATTTTTTGTCAGCCGTTCCATTACAAAAGTCATATTTTTTGGCCGGTTCTCATACATGTTTTTTTAGTAATGCTAACTGGTTCGCTAATCTCATAAAATTCCGTGAGACGGTTCTATAGAACCGGTGCGAATCGGCTGAATCCCATCACTGCTCAGGTCCGTATGAATTACTTTTATTGAACTACTTGAAGCCTTCTTTTATTTCAAGTTCATGATCTCCTGGTTACGATGGTTTTCAACATTTTCGAAGGCGCAGAGCCCCAACCAATCACTCCATGGGCTTGATATGCTAAAAAAAATGTGAAACAAGAATTTGAGGCGTAACACCTGGAAGTCTTTCTCGAAACACCAGAGAAACAATCTTATTAAATGATTATGGTATGTCCGTGTATCTGAGTGTATATAAACAATAAACATATAGGGCATTTTCGAATACCTGATGATTTCAGAATCGAATTGAATAATTTTTTCGAATCGAATACTTGGGAGATATAAATTTGTATGTAACTTTATTATTGTATTAGGACTTCCAGACACATAAATTACTGAAAACATAGAATATATCACCGAGACAGATTGCTGAGCGTCTACACACAATAAGAAACACTATTTCATCAATAACTCACTACAAAAAAGAGTCATATTTCAGAATTGCGTTGAAAAAGTATGGCTTCAATAAATAAAACGAGAAATTTAGCTCGACCAAGAAAAAAAGATGGCAGCGATTCGAAATTTTGATCTGAACCGATTCGAAATGCCCAGCCCTATATAAATATGATGATCCAGACTTTTGGATTTGAATGTAAACTTGTGGAACCCTCGTCTGTGCTGGCGGAATCCTGCCTGAAAACCACTCTTATTGTATTGTAAACTCTGACAATATTCTTTTCTCCCTTAATATATCTGTAACTGTCTGATTATGCCGGAAAAGCATCCAAATGTTCGTATCTTACGATGATCTTTATTTATTTTTTTCGCGAATTCTTTATTTGAATAAATTTTGTGCCTATTATTACAGAGTTTATTCTGGAACGATTACCTTTTTTATTTGGCGGGTAAAGGACCTCAAGTGGTGGATACGATTTTCTAGAGCAGTGGGCGGGAAACCGCGGCCCGCGAACAAATTTTTGGTGGCCCCCGAACGACCTCAAATATAAAATTTATTATATTCTGCGCACGGATGTATGCCTTAACAGTGGCTGTTGTGCATCGTTTGTTTTGTAGTAATAAGCGGAAGGACATGTCAAGTTGAAGGCAGTTTATTTGCCGAACGCGAGTTATAATTAACACAGAAATAGGAGTTGCAGTTTCGTTATAGCATGATTTAAAGTTTGACGAGGAAATTTTTTATAGGTTCGCGCTGCCGCCAATGTACAAATTCGGCCCAGTAGTACATAGTTAAGATCTAGCGGCCACTATACGGGGATCCGGAACTTCTTGGCGGTCGACATGCGAAAGCGAAATATTTATTAGTTTGTAAAATGAGAATATTATGGCGCATCGTACTAATCGTTCGCAATGCGCTTGCTATGGCGCCTCTGATTGCCTTGCGTTAGTTCGAATCTCGTGGAAGATAATTACGTGCGGCAATTGCTGGACTCCTCGCGAACGTAGGGTGGTAACCGCTGGTCGCTTGCGCCTTTCTCCACACTCAAGTCCACGCTTCTGAAACCAATAACTGTCTAATTATTCTCATACACCAGATAATCTTGAAACATGGCGAACGGCCATGGTTTGCATATGATTGAGCCGCGTTATCGGCTTTCTTCTCTTCTTTTACAAGTCAAAACCTGAAGGTGCGTGTCGAATTCGGTTTTTGAGTTTCTTCGAGTCCGCGGGACACGGACTGTAAATTACTGGCTTAAGTATTGGACTGGCATCACGGTCGTTTTGCTCCGGTACCTTTGTCAAATCAATTTCAATGAAAATTTTATTTCAACTTTAGCTTTCGTTTTGTTCATGTTTTAAAATATGCAATAGCCGCGGGATGTCGCCAATGAACAATCTTTCCACTACGCAAATGAGCTTCAACCCAAAAAGGCTAAACTTGAAAAACATGATTTTGAGAAACTGAGAAAAACGTATATATATTTTTAAACTCTTCAGATTAAATACGTTGGCAATTTCTTTGGGTATTTACGAGATCTATTCCCCTTTCCGACAGAATACTTCATACTTGAAACGTCTTACAGGGTTCTGTCATATTTTAAAACGTTTTTGGCATCTTGGTACTTGCGTTTTGTCTGTGAATGACTATTTAATACCCGTAACGAGGTGCTTTTCCAGGCCTCGATAAATAATTACGTTCATATATTCTGGGGTCTCCGCCACGGTGACCGTACATTTGAACCCATACATTTGCACCCATATATCCGCGGGTTCAATCTATATGCGGGTGCTAAAACCCATGGGTTAGGGTTAGTTAGTATGGGATCAAATATCCGTAAAACAAAAAAATAATTTCATAGTTGCAATAGTATGCAGGTGCAATTGTCCCAGGTTCACATGTAATGGAACCCTCCGCCACACGACAGCACTCAAATAGTATATTCCTGGAGTCCTGGACTCGTCGTTGTGACGACCGATGGTCGATAATAAGTGGTTAACCATTCCCATATCCGACATGGACTGGTGATCTCAGATTTATTACCATGCCAGCTACTTCACACAGGTGTGATAACTTTGGTAGCCATGCCGAAACGAATATTCCTTACTGGGCTTTCAGCTTCATACACATTAGCGACTGCCTATACAGAGCACTTTGGTAGGCGATGCCGAAACGAATATTCCTTACTGGGCTTTCAGCTTCATACACATTAGCGACTGCCTATACAGAGCCTTGTTTTGGGTGAACGCATAATAGTAAAATGAAACTGAGAATTTCCTTATGATTCAATTTGTTATTAGAACCTTGGGTGTCGCTGCTCGATAACCAGCTTCAGTTCACCCGTGACTCTCCTTGCTTAGCAAAACTGCGTAATTACTTTTTCTCGTAATTTGTCTACGATTGATTTTTACTTGTTTGTGAGAATTAACTTGACTAGAGTGATAAGTTTCGCATCCATTCAACTTTGATTAATTGTCTAAAACCGGATATGACGTCTAAGTGGATGCAAATGACTCTCAGTTGGCAAGCTTCCTAATCGATTGCACGAAAATATGATTATTATTTGGAAACGCCGGATTCGATTGCGTGTTGCAATTCATTGTATTCAAAGTTTTATTTTTTATTTGCAAAAATGCAAGCTGTTGCATACTAAGTTTATACATACATCGCACATGCTACGCCCTTGAGTTTCAGAAATGATGGCATCGAATTAAGTCGTTACTCATTGATACTTGGAACCTTATTACCATTTCGAAACTCAAATAATTTATCTTCACACATCGTAATTTCCAAATTTAACCACAACTTGATTGCAAACCTCTACCTATTTTGAGCCTCAGGCCTATTTGAATACATTTTACAGAGGCAATTAACTGATTTGCACAATTTTTATCACATATTTGCGCTTCTAATTAAGCGTTACGTAACAATGATGTCACGTCAATGACGAATCCATGACTTTCGGTACTCAAACCCAAAGTACCAGAGAAAATAATTAAAGCAAAAACGCAAGCTAATCACTTTTAAATTTCTTTCTGTAATTTGTCTTTATCAACGTTTTTCACGTTGACTTAACACGGTCGATACATCAGGTCGGCAACGATTGATTTGCATGACAATCTGATCGCACATCCGACAAAAATAAGCGAGTGGATTCGAAAAAGCTCTTATCTCTACGACTTAATTAGACTCCCTCATAGGTGACTGTCCTCGATAACCATTAATGGTTTAACGCGTCTCCAATCACACTGAAATGCATTTTTTTTTTATCTTTTTCATATTCTGTATGTACAATGTGTATTTTCGGCATGTGTGAAATAAACTACTGATTCTCCGCATTTCAGTGGCCGATCATAAAAATTTTCAGAGATTAGTCTCCGTCACTTCTAAATGTGTGCCCATAACATTGTTTTGAACAAAAAGTTTTGAGAAACATTTGCGACAAAGTTCTGCAAATTCACTTGTGACGTCCAGTTTCGACCGGAAGTTGATCGCGTCCATGAACTATGTTCGGGATAATTATAGCCATCGCATGTTGGAATGCAAAATTAATGGTTGTGTGACTTGTATTAGGCAAATAAGTTTAATTATATATCAGGGTGGCCTATAATAACATACCCATAACATAAACTAGAAAATATTTCATACTACCATACTGTTATCGCAACTAACGATTTAGTCTGTTTTGTTGGATTCTCGTATAATCATTGATCATCCCGCTTTTTGCTGCTGGCAGGCTTTTCAACTTTGTAAGCACAACACTGCACCAGTGGAAAATATCATGTTACTGAATCCCTGATAGACGAATTTTCATCCCACTGTGACGCAGTCACGTAACCCAACGCCGAAGGTGCCGAAATGAAAATAATAAACGATAACATGAAATCATACATAAGTTCCGCGGACCCGATAGTGTTTCACCGCCCGTATGTTGCACTACATTGTATAAATGAATCTAGCGTTTTAGCCTATACGTTCTCATTTTGCTTTTGCTCCTAATGATGATTTGTACGAGCGGTCACTTAAACATACATTAATAACATAAAGGCCCAGTGCTTCATTCTAAGACATTTGCTACAAGCATTGTATAAACTAGTGGGCGCCTGTTGGTGTAACTGCGCTGATCCAACGTGCTCGTTTGTAATTGCGAATTATCTTTTCGACCAACATTGGCAAGTAAAGTTCTAATTTGCTAAAAAAAAGTCCAAATAAAATTTGTAGCGACTTGGATTGTTTCATTATTTGTGGCGTATATCGATCTTTTCGTCGCAGTGGTGGTTGGTAAAACTCTCCTTCAAACCTTTTTCCAAGTTCTCTTGAACCTGGAGTGGAGCAACC